TTTGTATCAAATGTATGCCCTTCAACAGCGATGCTTGTAAACTTACAAATGAGCCGTTCCGCAGGGCACAGTGGTTTTGGCACAGGGCCATTGGGTTCGGCACACGAAACAACAAGGACCCAGTAGGAGTCTAGGAGGGTGTTGACCATTTGTGGATGGGGATGTGAAGGTGCTGTGGAAAGCTGTAAGCCGAGAGGCTTGAAACCTTGGTTGCTGATTCTGTAGTGCTCTATAATGAAGTCCAGATCTTTGCAAGGCCCGTTTTCCTACACCGCCACAACACAAAGCGCCTTGTGCGTGCTAATAGAGGCCTAGGTAGGTAAAGCCAGAATGTACCTCGCGAATGGCTGGAGTTTATCCATAGTCGTAATGATATGAGACTACAGGATATAACTTGGTCATAACTTGGGTTTTCCCCTCAAAGATCATCCACAAAGTGGAATACGAATCTGATTCACTCCCGCCAGTGGCAAGTCACGCGGCTAATTGGAGGGTTAGGGGGACTGGGACTCAGTATGTAGCTTAATAAGTGGGATGGCTGGGTTATTCTAAGGCAAGCATGGGTCATAAGTTCAAAGTATATTCTCTGATTCTCAAGTTTCACAAAATCCCTGATCACCCAAGCACCCGTGAAAGACCTCTGGTGGAACTGCAAAGTTTCTCAGTGGCCACCCCTCGGCAATTTGATTAGACCCTGATGTAAGGAACTACTTGCCAGACAGCCTGCTCTACAGCCTTGATGAGCAATCATAGCAGGTTTAAGGCTTAGGGTTTTGCTTCATAAATGTAGGAGTAATTCTCTGAACGCCGCACTTGCGTAGCTTAGGCCCCTTTCATGCGGATGCAGGAAGTTCATGCACTGCCTTGTAACCCACAGTACTGCGACTTGCAGTAATTCGGGATCCTAGATGGTGCCAGATTTTCTCCATGTACCAAAGTCACCCTTTTGGCCTATCCCGCTTGCGACATGATTCCTGGCCTTGAAGGTAAAGGCCCATTGCTCCCTGCACTCAGCACAAGCCAAGGTTTCTCGGGTTTATCGATCATGGTGCCATTCTTTGCCTTTTGGGCGATGGTGTATAAGGAGTTTCGCAAAAGTTTTCAGAATAGGTTTGAGATGGGGACTTGCAAGCGTGTTGTACAACGTGGCCGAAAGGAGTGCTGCTTCCAGTGCGATTCTGATTGCGCCACCATAACAAGGAAACCCCGAACTTTGAGGATCAAACCTAAAACCCCGAAATAGTAGCTTCCATTTTATTTTCAATTTTCCATTATCCCAATATAATCCCAATATAACCCAAAGCTCCTTCCCATCAACACTTTGCAACTCGGGATGCTTTGTACCTAGAGCACAGAATACTACTGCGATCTACAGAACTGGAGTAAGGCTGTCGGGTAGGGTATACCTGAAAGGTATAGGGATCTTCAGGGCATGGCGCTCTCAATGAGACTGCCGCTTTTTGATGTTTAAGGTTTTTTCCACGCCCCTTTTACCCGCAGAGCTGGCAAAGGCCTGAGGCCGGGGTAGTCCTTGTCTAATCGTGCGCATGCTACTGGAACTCACGCTGGGCCTGAAAAGCGTTCAACACATCTTGGCCCAAATCCACTCAGACAGTGCGGCTTGGTATCATCCCCTGCTCTCACCATCCAAAGATTAGGGTCCCAAGGTTTGGGGCTTAGAGTCCAGGCAGGAGCTTTTGAGGTCAAGGATTGGCGTTAAGCCCCCACCTCGAAGCGGCGCCCCTGGGGCGCAGGAGGCAGCAAATGTATGTACCTGGCAAAGCCGTGTGTGTTTCTCAGTGGGCTCTTGGGGATCTTAAGGATACACGCGGATTGCTTGGGGGGGGGTGGTTGAGGATCGGAAAAGGTTATTTAGAGAAATATTCCCCAGTGAGGATCTAACACATGATGAGAGTTCTGACCCGAACGGTCATCATAACATCTTGGAGTCCATGGCTAAACCGGGTTTATACAAGGTGGGAAGCAATTCACAATGAAACCCTGCGCCGTGAACTTTATTGGTATTGGTATTGGAGGCATTGTATGCGCATCCTCAACGTAAATCCATAGCATCAACTGAAAAAGAAGCTACTCGCAGCACATCAACCTGAAAGCAAGGCTTTCCAGGGCCTACCTACTGCAGGCCAAGATTATCATCTGTGGTATGACACTTCTCTTCCTCAGAAACTGTGAGGAAATCGTGATCCAAGAAACGTCCTGAGTGTTGAGTGATAATCTTCTTCCCATATAACAATGACCCCCGCCCCCATCCCTCGAATAAAGAATGCCACGAATATGGTATATATACATATATATATATGTATATGGATTGAAGAGCCTATTCCTCATCCGGGGGAGGGATTACTTTGAAGCAATTGTAGCCAGGAGGTGAGCAAAGAACACTTGGGGAGTCACGAAACCACAAACCCTCAACGTACCCTAAACCCTATACCCCAAACCCTAAACCCCAAACCCCAAACCCTCTTTCCTTCGCAGGATCACGCCGCTCCCCTCCTTCACTGGACGCTCGGCCTTGGGTTCCTGTGTCTGCTACCAGTATAGCACATATGAGCCATGGTCTAAACTCCTTAAAGGGGGTTATATAGGGATTACTATAGGGTTATATAGGGATATATAGCGATATATAGGGTTTAGGGCTTAGGATAAACTCCTTAAAGGGGTTATGTAGTGGTATGTAGATACGGGACTAATATAAGGGTTATTCAGGGGGATACTAGGAGTCTAGACTATAGCACGCATTTTAGTACACTTAAACATTAGGTGCTGTAATATCATTGGTAAGTCAAAGGTGCCCATAATTTTGAGAACAACCAATTTCACTGTCCGGTGCTTAGTAGGGAATGGCTCATGCCATTTTGTGGGTTTTTGCTATGGGTATCCATTGCTGAGCTTCCCTACTGACTGAGCACCAGGTAGGCCAGATCTCTACGGCGGACATCTTGCAGTCAGGGAGTGTAATACCTGGAACTCTGGCCGAACAACAGCATTCCACTTTGGGCCCACATCTTCTTTGCATGCAGTCGTCCCACCATCTGCTGCCCTGGACAACACGTAGATTTGTGGAGATAGGATTGCTCTCACCGGAGGCCAGCTGGCTTGCAGCTTTAGCCGCTGGAAGCCTTCAACTGTAGCAGTGCAGTGATACCCTGGGACCACAGGAAACTCGGAGAGCAGTCTGTCAAAACCCTTGGCCGATAGGGCTTTTGCCTCCAGGTTCTCTTCTTTGGAATACTTCCAATTTTGACGATCCTCCAGAAAACGGGAGACCCCTGAGATGGCTGCCAGGTTGCCTATGTGCACAGTGAGGGGTTGCGAAGAGTTGCACTCCATCACCTGCAGAGGCACTTCAAACAGCAATTCCTTTACTGGAAGACAATGGTGGTAATTTTGGAAGGCATTCCCGACTTTCGTGAACTACCCGCCTGAAGCCCGGTCAGGGCTATGCCGCCTGGGTAGTTCAGATAGGATGCCGACGTCATCACCGCCGTGGCTCCCAGCGACGCCAAACCCAGGCCCAAAAGGCCTAGCGAAGCCTGGGCTGCTTGTAGGGGTTTAGGGTTGATTTTTTTGGATTAACGGTTCAGAGCAAAAAAAAAGTTTAGGTGTAGGGCTAAGAGCTGAGGATTTAGAGTTTGGGGTTCAGGGCTGGAGGTTTGGGAGCTAGGGTATTGGGTTTAACGGTCAAAGGGAATACTACAAAGTGCATGTGTAGTCCAGAACCTCATCATAGTGTACATGTATGTGCTACAGGTTCTATAGGATTTGACGTGGTTCTGGTTATGCTTTCCTGCGTAGGATTGGGGTTCCGGAATCTGAGGGGTTGGAAGGTAATGAGACCCATGATTAAAACAAAACTGCTTTTAAGGGCCTTAATATCAGGATCCCTATTACAAGCCCGAACCCTACACCCTGAGCCCTAAACCCTAAACCCTGTGTAACTTTTACAGAACCCCTACGTAACCCCTTTATGATACCTATTAAGGGGATGGGGTTTACTAATCAGGGGTCTACATTAGGAGATGGAACCAAGCCTGGTCAAATGATGTTAGACCATCCCTAGCCATGATTCCGCGAGGATGAGGTAGAAACAGCCAATAACGGTCCATGGGTTGCTCCCAAAATTATGGGTACCTTTTGGGTAGAGAGTATATTGCGGCACCGAATAGTTAGGGGCACCAAAATGGGACCCTAGTTTGGGACCTATCCCCATGCTCAGAAGCCATTGTAAATTGTGGAATTCCTTCCGAGGGCACCTACCGTCCAGCGACACATCCTTGCAAGAATAGAAGCGGCTGTTTGCAAGGAAAGAACGCAATCACGTTGACATATGAGGCTGGAAACCGCGAGCATGTAACATACGACAAAGATCTGGCGCAACAGGTGCTGGCCTACACAGGCGTTAGTAAAGGTCTAACATTTTGACAAATGCCCAGAACTGCAATATATCCAATAATCGCGTCCAGCAGCAAGGGTGCGCGCGAGACCCTTCCAGCGCAAGACGCGAGCCGCTGCCGCAGCGGCCGCAGCGTTCAGCAGTGGCAACGCTGGGAAGATGAATCTCAGCTCCTTGCAATACAGGGGTTGTACAGGGATCTAGAGGGGTTTATGGGGGCTATGGAATAGGAAAATTAATGCTTATATGTGTATATGTATATACATGTATATGATTATGTGTGTATATATATATGTATATATTGGAAATACCGGCAGACATTGGGATTGATGGAGGACCAAATGCAAAAGAAATGGCCATCTAACGTGAGACTAGGAAAATATTCAGGGTGTAGAACCATTGTCGCTACTCCAGTTGTTCTCTGATCATTGTCGGTAGCCCTATCGTTGGTCAATATCGTACTCGGGTATCCTGGTTTACATACGACACGTCTTGGCCTTTCGTGACACCACCACGCAAAATTCCAAAGATTCCAAAGACTCTCATGGATGCTCAATGCTTTCAACACATCTGAGTAATCCTCAGTGGGTTTACTCTTGATACTGCTCAGCATTCTGCCAGAACATTTTGTCCATTCAGCATGCGCATCAATGTCGGCTTCATAGGCTGGATATGAGGCAGCACCACGCACTTACATCGTTCTACAGCTCCATGGCAGATCCTATGCTGTTGGGACTGCGGAGTTCGTCTAGAAACCAATGCAAAGGTATCCACAATTTTGGGGCCATCCCTCTTCTAATTTAGGAACACGCTCATATTCACGAACCTGCAACTTTTGGGACGTGGAGGTTGTTCAAAAGGTCCTTGTAAAGAAGGGGCTAATGGGCCTTGGGGCACACACTTTCTAAAAGGATGATCTTAACCAAAAAAAAGGCACCTACCCTATTGCCCATTTTTGGAACAGGCATGTTGAACCATCACCCCGTGAAGCAGGGACCCCCCAGCTTCGTTTGAAACGCAGCCTTGTGCGGCAGGAACGAGTAGAGGGCCACAAAAGTCAGTGACGCCAAGACAAGCTCCCGAGCCCGAGGCTCGATGATGAAAGCAAGCAGAACCAGAGGTGCCCCACCAAGGAGAGCCTGAGATAGGGTTTAGGGTGTAGGGTTTAGGGTTCTTCATGGGAACATAGGAAGCTCCTTGTAGCCTTTAGATAGGGGTATATGGTCCCTATTGAGGGTATATAGAGGGCAGATGGAGGGTCTGGGAACATAGGAGAACAGATTTCGTTCCCAGGTATTCGACTTGGGTGCGGCCTACAGCCCAAAGTTTCAGGATCAACAATGATCCAGCGGCTTTGGGAAGGGCAGAGTAAGAGTACCAAAGTGGCGGCAGCGTGCCCCACTCGCTGGACTTGTTTTCAGCAGTGTTGAACCAGAGCACCTCAAACTCTGGCCATAACCATCGCTGCCAAAGCACAGAATCAACGCACACCTGGATTGCTGTTAAGGAACTTAATTGAAGTTACTATACTGGGGAAACGATATTAAGTACTATATCTACCCATTCTGCTAACTGAATTTAAGTTCCTTAGCAGCAACCCAGACACAGACGTGACAGCGCCCATCAAAGCAGCCAAGGCGGTTGCCACAGCTGCCTTGAAGAAGTTGACTCGACGCTGCCACAGCAACAGCAAGCCAATCGGCGCGATCAAAACCAGCAGGTCGCAACGAAAAATGGCGGCTGCCAGGCCCAGCAGGACCAAGCACTTGTAACCACAGCCCGCCAGGAGTTCTGCATGAGCTAAGGTTGCCAGTTGCAGTGCAAAGACGTTTGGCAGCGTCCGGCTCATGTAGAAGGGGAGGTGGAACTGGACTAGCGTTAGAATCGCCAGGAATCGCGAGGCTTCCAAGCCGAACTCAGCTGCAACGGCAGCGCGGAGGCGCGCGAAGGTTGCGACGGAAAGGAGGCCAACCACAAATCGCACCAGCCGTAGCAAAGAAGAGGTCGCCAGCTGTAGGGGCAAACTGGGTGATGCAAGAGCGGCAACCACCAAAGGCCCCAGGAAGGTTCTGGGAACGGCTCCTGAACACTGCTTTCTTTTGGGTCACTAGCAAGGCAAGGCTCCAGGCATTAAAAAAAAGTGGGTGTGAAAGTTTCAGAGCACTATTCCTCCGCTCACAACCCCAAAACCCTTGAAACCTAAACTCTAAGTCCTGAGACCCTTCGACCCTTAAACCCCAAAAGCCCTCCCACCGTCGCCGCTCTCCCTCACTGATGCTCAAGGGAGAGTGGGAGTGGATCCCTAAAAATACTCCCTATAGAATCCCCATATATACCCCTATAATGTCACCTATATTCACTCCCCCACTCCCCCTCAAGCACCAGTAGGCTCCTGGAAACTGCAGGTGGTCCCAACTTTGGAGGTCTGAACCATGCAGTAGTGCATCATGGCAGGCCTGGAGGTTGAAACTCTCCTCCACCTGATCTACAACTTGATGCTTGCTGGTTTATATCGGGTTTAGGATTTAGGCTTTAGGGCTTAGGGGTATACACGGAGTATACAGGGCCATACAGGGAGTGTGTCAGGAGATAGGGGGATACACCGGGATTCAGGGTAGATTTATGTTTGCTTGCTGACTTGAAGCTACTATTTCGGGTGCATCGTTTCCGGGAGCCAGCTAGTTGCTAGTAGGGGATGGAGAATTAAATGGAAAACCATATGGACAAGGACATGGAAGCTGGGACGCTCTTCAGGTTTAGGTTTTAGGGCTCAATGCTGGCCACCTGTTACTGGATAACAGAAGCTCGCATGGAAAAGAAACTAGACGATGATATGAGAACTCGGGTAAAATTAGTTGTTTAGGACAACGTGCTTGGTTGCTGGAAGGGAATGAAGGCATGGAACACAAAACGGAAACTACTACTTAGGGTTTAATTAGGGTGCAGAAGAAGCTGGAACTACTCTACAATCCGGGTTACATAGCAGCTACGATATCAACCAGACAGACAGTGTCGGGTTCTGTGCACAGTGTGGGGATTCAGGGGTTTAGGATCTAGGGCTGGAAGTGTTTCGGGCGTTGGGCTACGGGATTGTAGGGTTTAGAGGGCTTGGATTTCAGACTTTGAGGATTAGGGCTTGGAAGTCAGGGCTTAGGGTTAGGGACTATATAGGCAGTGGGTAGGGCTAAGGGCTTATGCACTCCTGAAAGAACTGAAGATGAGGGCGCAGCCCTCAGTCTACATGCAACAAGGCTGCGTAAGCCCCCAACACGCACTCAAATGAGGTTGTATGGGCACCCTACCTAGACCCTCCATGTACCCTCGCCCCCCTTGCTCCCCTTGCTC